TCCATGCAGCTGAATATTAATTTATTATATCTTCTTCTGATCATTAATGACCCTCAGAATTGCAGAGTAATAAGTTAATTTCCTAGGTCACACTCCAAGATGTGTTTTCTAACAAAATGCTTGAAGGGGATCTTTCTTCCACTCTAATTATCATTTCACTTTGCCCATGGGGTCAAGTATTTTCTTTTGAGATAACCAAGGAAAAGCAAGCACCACATTCTAGCAAGTGACTAAGTTTAGCCTTTCTCAGGACAACAGTAGAGTCCCAAACATTCAGTTGTTTTGTTTGACACTTTGCTGTTTACTGTCTTTGAGATAATTACCATTTAAAGGTTCAATTACTGCCTTAGGTGATAAAGTGGTATCAAGATCTTTAAGGATAACATTTGTCTTCCTGAGGGTTTTATGATAAAACAAATATAAAGGGCACCATCCAACCAAGGTTAAGCATTTTAAAAAGGGCTCACAGTTTTCAGTTAGAGACACTGCATATAACATACTTACATTTCCCACTCAAACCAATAAGACAACAAGGTGCTTAAATTACAGCTGAATCAGATTGGTAATGTTTTGCAAAATGTAAACAGGGGAAGCCTTTTATTCCACATAAATGAGTAAAGAAAATTCTCTTTTGTGGATACAATAAATGCCACTTTTGATGAGTGTTTAGGAGAGCTAGCTTTCAGATTGTATGGCTTGAATAGTGGATCTGGAAAACATAGGTTCACAAAAACACCAAGCCTCAACATTTTTGGGGCGGCAATAGGCCAGTTATTAGATTGCCTCACTGGAGTTTTTGTGAGAATAAAAGTAAGTTTGCATGAATTCTTGCACTGAATTCCTTGGCAAATGACCAAATAAATCGGTAACTTGGCTTTTCTTTTCATTATATTTATTTAGAAAATGCATATCTACTTTCCATCAAAAGATTTTCAAACTAGAGAATGATAAAGCAAAAGAACCACAGCAAAAATAAACAATAACTTAGACACCATGAGAAGCAGCCAAAAGGGGGGAAAACCCCAACAAACCCAACAGGAAAAATTAAAATAGGATCATAGTCAAGGAAATCCAGAGCCTATTTTGGGGATTTTGCAAATCCTAGAGTCCCATAGCTTCACTGACCAGGCTGAGGCTGGTTGTGGGGATTCTGGGAGATGTAATAAAAAGGAATGTATAAACCTGTCCAAGTTTATGCAGTTTGTTTTAAGTCTAGTTTTATGGCATGACAATATTGCTCATCAGGACTTTTTGGAAACAAAATCTTAAAACAGAAATATAGAACATACCAACCACATACTTCCTTGTGTCTTGGTGCCAAGTCTGTTCTCATAGTTCTTGCACAGCTCAAACTTTAGTCATCCCTTTTAATTTGATAGCCAAGAAACTGGAGTTGTTAAACTGGATGTCTTGGTATACCCTTGTCTGTCCATCAGACTGAATGGTTGAAAGAACTCTATGAATATATTGAAGCACTTTGGCCTTTTGCTGAATGGGTTGTTACCCCAATAATGTTTGATTTTTTTAACCAATGTTAACTCTTTACCCATTCTTTTTGTTGTTGACGTTATTCTCCTCCCATTTCCTTGTCTATCTTTTTTGTATTGCTGATATGAATAGGATATTGAAAAGCATATTCATGGCAATATTCTAGGTTGTCTTATTAAAATTTTAATAATGCTTTAGCAATAAAAGGAAAAGACCGAAATTATTGAGTGAGGCTATAATCCGGCAAAGGGGAATAGATGGATCATGAACTCCACAAAGCATTCCTATTGATATCAAAAATTGCTGGATATGAAGATCAAAGACAGTATGTATGGACTTAATTTGGAGTCTTTGGGGGCTTCTTTTATGGGCTGTTATACTTGAAGTCAATACAATACCTGAAACTGCATATGACGCAGTTTATGTACTACAATGAAATGAAGTTGTATGATCTTGATTACACCCATAATATGTATCTCAGGGGTTATCAAAATCTGTCATATTCTTCCTGGTTTGTAAGGCTAAGGCACAAAATGAGCTCAGTGTTGTCAGAGAGAATAAAAACTATAAAAAATGTCAGTAGAAAAAGGAGGAAAAAGGAAATGGTAGGGCCTCTGCATGGAGAAGGTGGTGAAATGCTAACAGGGGATAGGGAAAAGGCAGAGCTGTTGAACACCTTCTTTGCCTCAGTCTTCTCCCAAAAAGAGACTAGTGTTCAACCTGACCAGCATGAAGCTAAAGAGCTAACAGGGGAAATGCAACCCAAAATAGATAAATATGTAGTTCAGGAATACCTGGCTACTCTAAATGAATTCAAGTATCCAAGGCCAGATGAACTACATCCATGAGTATTGAAGGAACTCGCAGAAGGCGTTTCAGAACCACTGGCAATAACTTTTGAGAATTCTTGGAGAATAGGATAAATCAAAATTCCTTTCTTGGAAGCTTTTAAACAGAGGCTGGATGGCCATCTGTTTAAAAGTACAATCTGGTGCTTTGATTGTGCTTTTCCTGTATGGCAGGGGGTTGGCCCACGTGGTCTCTCCCAAAATCTAGGATATAGAGTCCATATCCCAGAATGTTGGGATATGAAGTCCAACAATCTCTGGAGGATCACAAGCCACCCCTTGTTGCTATGAACTATAGACTCTGGCTATAACCTCTGTTCCATTTTGGAGTTACTCTCATGACAGATGACCAATCAGAAGAAGCTCTCTTAGGACCCTTCCAGACAGGTCCTATATCCCAGGATCTGATCCCAGGTTTTCTGTTTACCTCAGATTTTCTGGCCGTTTAAAGCAGAAAACCTGGGATTGGATCCTGGGATATAGGGCCTGTCTGGAAGGGCCCTCAGTTGCCTTGCCAGGTATTTGGAAGGGTCTCTCAACTTTAAGAGAGGGATGTCCAGCAGCAGCACAGTCTCTTTTAAGATGGATAGTGAAGACAATCTTATTGTAGCAGGCTTTTTCAGACTCTCTTTAGCTCTTTATTTATTTACCTAATCATTTAGCTCTTTATTTACCTAATCATGTCTCCATTTTAGCAAGTGCCTTGTGGGTTTCCAGATGTTCTGCTTTTAAATACATTCAATTTGATTTCAAATGCTGTGTTTTCATTTTTATGGTTGAAAAAATTCAATCACTTACAATACCCACCACTGATTTAGTCAAAACATTTAAATGAATGAATGAATGAAAGCTTACAACAGACAATGGGTTAATCTGAGAAGAAGGGACATGAAGAAGGAGAATCTGACAATACATTTAAGTAGGTCGGGGTGAAGGGTATGGGTCATATGCATGCAACTTTTTATGGAAATTGATAAAACAGTAAGACCTTTTGAAGGTAAAAAGTAAAGGTTTCCCTTGACATTAAGTCTAATCATGTCCAACTCTGTGGGGTGGTGCTCATCTCCATTTCTAAGCCGAAGAGCCAGCGTTGTCCGTAGACACCTCCAAGGTCATGTGGCCAGCATGACTGCATGGAGCAATGTTACATTCCCACAGACCTATTACCAATTGATCTACTCACATTTGCATGTTTTCAAACTGCTTGGTTGGCAGAAGCTGGGCCTAACAGCCGAAGCTCATCTTGCTCCCCAGATTCGAACCACCAACCTTCCAGTTAGGAAGTTCTGCAGCTCAGTGCTTTAACCCGCTACACCATGAGGGAGCCCCTTTTGAAGAATTGTGGGAATTTTAATAAATTACCCCACTTTTTGAACAGGTTATTCCCAAAACAAGATATACTTAGGTTTAGATGAATCTGAATAGAATGAATGGCTCCACTATAGTTGACAAGCCATTATACTGCCATATCTTCTAACATTTTACAGATAAAAACTGGGACATATATAACCAAACATCAGAGTGTGGTGAGACAGCAATGGTTATTAACAATGAAGGACATAGGAGAGGATGGAGCCAGAGCCAAGAGAGGCTGCAAGTTTATTTATGCTTGAGCCTCATGAGAAGGACAACATTCCACCAATGCCTCTACCTCCTACTAAATTAACTGAGTGCTAAGAGCTTTTGCACTTTGAACCCAAGTTGCAGCAGCTGGGATATTTTAAAAGCAACTGAAAAGTGGGATGATAGAGGACTTAGGAAAAGTGGGATGATAGAGGACTTAGAAAAAGTGGGATGATAGAGGACTTAGGAAAAGTGAGATGATAGAGGACTTAGGAAAAGTGGAATGATAGAGTACTTAAGAAAAGTGGGATGATAGAGGACTTAGGAAAAGTGGGGGAAAGTGGAAGGCAAAAGGAAGAGGGGCCGACCAAGGGCAAGATGGATGGATGGCATCCTTGAAGTGACTGGACTGACCTTGAAGGAGCTGGGGGTGGTGACAGCCAACAGGGAGCTCTGGCGTGGACTGGTCCATGAGGTTACGAAGAGTCGGAGACGACTGAACGAATGAACAACAACAAGAGGACTTAACGACGCTCCGTGCAGTCAAGCAAGCCACATGACCTAGGAGGTGTCTACGGGCGATGCTGGCTCTTCGGCTTAGAAATGGAGATAAGCACCACCCCACAGAGTCAGACTCAACTAGACTTAATGTCAAGGGGAAACCTTTACCTTTACAGGAGATATTGGGATCATAACTGCCAAACTGGAAAGTTTGCGCTGCATAGTCAATTCATCCCCAGAGAACAAGCACTAGCCATATAGTGTTATTTCAAGACCAGCATTGACAAAATTAAATTTAGATTTCCTTCTGAATGTCATAGGATGGGGTAGGAGACATTATCTTCTCATTCCTTCCTGGAGCTGGATTTAAAAATAAATAAATCAAAGAGCAACTTTTCCAAGTTCTGTTCCATAAATTCTATCAGTTGCCATTTATAATACCAAACTAAACCATGTGTTTGTTGTGGAGTCAAAAATCACCAAAACAAAGCAATACTCGTAGAATAATCTTAGAGCAGGAGATGACTGTTCCTCAAATAATTTTGGAGTAGGAAATAGAAGAAGGGATTGGGAGATTTAAAATATAAAAAGTATACCTACATTTGGCTGTCACTTTGTATCCGCCCAAGGGAGGATCATGGCCTTCAATAGCATCAAAACCAGCAGATACTAAGACAAAGTCTGGCTCAAACTCAGAGGCAATTGGCATGATCACAGTCCTAAAACAAAAGATAGGCAAATGGTTATGCATCTGACATTTCATTAAACATGCTAATGAGATTGATACATTAATCAGATTTTGGCCTAGGCTATCCAATTCTATTTCCACATTCTGAGACTAGATTTTAGCATTTTTTCCTTTTAAAAAATGCAGGTATATGCAAGAGCTTCTAACATTACAGACACATCTGGGCCTGTTTTACCCTACCTCTTATAAAGACAAACTCTTCAAGGGAAGTGACTAATGGATTACAAAGAGAATTCTGAAGTCTCAGTGGAAACCTAGATTGCTCCAGTTAGTGCAAACTTGGTGTAAATTTGAACTATAAATTTCTTGTGGGGTGGGGGGATTGTTTGTTTTTCAAACGTATCCCTTCTTCTGAACATTTTAAAATGTTGTTTGAGTTGGGGGTGACTTTGCTAAAAGAAGGGGGTGGGGCAGGGAACCCAAAAAGGATTCCTGTAATCAAAACCAGCTCTTCTTCTCAGGATTTTTCTGAGGTCATGCCTAACAGGAATTTGACAACCACAAACCAGAAACAGCACCCCCTGCTGCTTTCAGGAAGACATTTCAGGGTTTTCCCATTTTTGGCTTTAACTCTTTCCTTTCCAGTACTTTATCTTATCCACTTTGAGATTGCTTAAAAGGAGGGACAACTAAGCAAGGCTGAATCTATCATGTAAGAAAGCAAAGCCAATTGCTTTGGGCAATGAGATTCAGTAGGATACTTAAAGCTGGAAAATGTCTAAATGGTATAGCAACACCAAGAATTGGTCACAGTGGGAGAATCCTGATTGATAAATCCTTTCAAAAGGAAATAGTCTCAGGTAGCTTTGCTTATCCATTCAAAGGTAAAAATTAAAATAAACCAACAGACCTTAAGTCTTATATTCAGTTTATACTACTCAAGAATCTAGTCAAGAGCTTTCCAAACATTTCATGTTAGTGACATACTTTTCAGAACATGCTTCCTTTCGCAACACAATAATTCACTTTTACTAGCAAACCAGGGGTTAAACCAACTATTTATAAGATATATGGACATATACATACAATGTGAAAATGAAATGTCATAGGAAGAAAACATATCTCATGAAAGTCCTTCATTTATGAGGGTTATCCAGAAAGTAAGGTTACAATACTTTTTTAAATACAAAAAATGAATATATTTAAATAAAATTTACCTGTATTGTACCATATGCATTACATTATTTTCCCACACAATCACCATTCAATTCAATACATTTTGTCATCTGTGCGATGAGTTTTTGGATGCCTGTGTCATAGAAGTTTCCCTCTGCTTTTTTCAGCCAATTCATCACTTCAATTGTCACCTTGTTGTTATCAAAAAAGTGTTTTCCACCAAAGTGTTCTTTCTATTTAGTGAACAGATGATAGTCACTGGGTGTGAGATCAGGGCTGTAAGAGGGTGGCTTAAAACATCTTAACCAAATGAAGACAGCAACTCTTGTGTTACATGAACGGTGTGTGGATGTGCATTGTCATGAATGAGACAGACTCCCGCCATTAGCATCCCACAGTGTTTCTTTTGGATGGCTCTGCGAAGTTTCTTCATGGTCTCACAATATATTACGTACCCATTTTGTCACATGCTGTCTTGACATTATGTCCTCTCCATAAAGTGAAATGATTATGCGATGAATTACAGCAGCATTCATGCTCTTAGCATTTAGGTAGCATATTACAGCATGAACTTCACACTTGGAGGGAACAGAATGAAGACGCTCATCTCTAACTTTCACCATGATACCAGTTGATGAGCTACTGATGACTGGCATTGCTCGTTCACTTCCGCTGGCTTCCCGCTACACCGCAGTGATATCAGCTTCCCCCGTGAAAATTCACCATGAGAACTACATGTCTTGCAACCTTACTTTTCAAATAACCCTTGTATATTTTTACAAAAATATAACTTGTAAGATACTGACATAAATTTTCAAGATTTTTGTCATTTCTCATTACATTCGCGTGACACATCTATACAGTGCAGCTGATGCACTAAGATGTTGTTACACATAGTTTGGAAAGCTGTAGTCTAGTCCTTGCATACCTTCCAACAGTTAACAGGGGGAAACTGGGACATCTATGGCTGAACTCCATTAATGATGTCTAAAGGGTGTGGCCAAGCAACAACATGGCAAAAGTTATGAATGATAGCAAAAACACAAAACCACTAATTTAAACAGAAAAATCCTGGTATTTATGTGCTAAATTCAAGAAAGGAAAATCTCTGTCCCTTCTTCTTTCCTTCTTGCTTAGTTATCAGAACTCAATTTGTAGCAACAGAAGTAAGTCAATTTAATACTAATTTAACATTGTGAACACTAACGGACACCTTGATTTCGCCCAAGTATTTTTCCAGCCTTCTCTAGAAATACCAGGAAATGAACTTAGCACTTTCTGTGCACAAAGCATGTGAATTACAGTCCCTCCCAAAAGCAGAGCCTGGAAAAAATTGGTTGGCAGTAATGACTAGGGGATCATGGGAGTTGAAGTACAACATAACATTAATTGTTCATGATCAAAGTATCTTTGATCATTCCTTTGTCTGCTAGCACATAATCCTTCTTGCTCAAGTGATTTCATAACTTTTCTGGATAGGTTTTCCTGTTGCTCAATAAACATTTTTCAACTGGAAAGAATTTGCTAGCTGTGTCATAGATTGATTACTTAGAACTCATTGTTTGTAGCTGTCGTTTTCTTCTGCAAAAGGCAAAGTACAAAAAAATGAAGAAGCTGAAAATAATGGCATGGAAATTTCCTTCCACTTCTAAGGCAAGAATATGTTGACATTACAGATGGCAGGATATTCTAGTGCAGTTAGCCTTCTTGAGTCTCAGTAGAGCTGTGAACATTTCAATGAAACAATGACACATTTTCCCCAAGATAATAACATTCAATCAATGCATTCTTCTTCTGTTTAAAAAACATTTTAAGGGGCCTGGAGGACTTCACACACAAGCCAAAAGTAGACCACAAGCAATGTGAATGTAATGTTCTGATGTTAATAGCACTGATATACTAATATATTCAGGCAATCATAAAGAGATATAATGGAAGTTCAGGATTTTCATGTTTCAGGGATGAAATACAAAACTCTTAGGCATGGTCTTGAAACTCTATCTCTCCCCATCCATCTATGCCCCAGAAGTGGGACAATTCACTTCAATTGTTCAATGTATCCTTTTAGTCATAACCACAACATGTTTTCAGCAAGCATTTTATGATATAAACTCAAATGTATTAAATGAAAAATGTAGAGAATAATAAAGAAATCTTGATATAGTATGGAAGAACATAAGAAAAAACCCTGTTGAGGTAAGTTGATCTAAGCCACTGGTTCTCAACCTATGGGTCTCCAGATGTTTTGACCTTCAACTCCTAACAGCTGGTAAACTGGCTAGGATTTCTGGGATTTGTAGGCCAAAATACCCAGGGACCCACAGGTTGAGAACCATTGATCTAAGTCATTTTGCCATACAAAGTTCCTTACTCTGCTTTATATTTAAAGTTGAATTGCCTACCAATTGAATATTAGTTTGGTGTTTCTGAAGAAATGGCATTCTCTGTGGCACCTGAAAAGAGCAAGTAAGCCTAGGAGTCACAGGATAGATTTGTTTCCAGCACTTTGCCTCCAGCACCTGCTACTGGACGTAGCCAGTTCACTATGTCTAAAAGTAGGGCTGGCCCTGCTGCTGGATTAGAGAAAGAGTCCATTATTGGGTTGCTTTGAGTTTTCTGGGCTGTATGGCCATGTTCCAGAAGCATTCTCTCTTGATGTTTCACCCACATCTATGGCAGGCATCCTCAGAGGTTGTGAGCATAGATATGGGTGAAACATCAGGAGAGAATGCTTCTGGAACATGGCCATACAGCCCAGAAAACTCAAAGCAACCCAGTTATTCTGGCCATGAAAGCTTCAATAATACAGAGTCAATTATCTCTGGTTTTTGTAGTGTGGACAATTGGATGTTTCTATAACATCCGCAGCCTGGCCTCTCCTATTCCTCATGTCTCTTCTGCAGCAACACATATACAGTAGAAATTTGGTTCTTCTCAAATGAAGCAAAAAGTTGAAAGTGTTCGTAATTTCCTTCTCACTGTGAGAAAAGCTGTTTTTCATTTAGAACGCATTCTGTTCAAAAATTTCATGTACTTTGAAAAGGCAGAAAACAGCATTTTCTACGCAAAAACTTAAATGTGAATTTTGTAGAGAATAACTCCCAAACTGTGAAGATTCTTACCACTCCATGATTCTCCCTGTCAGGGTTTCCTGACATGTTTTTGCACCATTTAGATCAGATTCTATTGTATGGAACCATGATACTGAAAGTGGATCAAACCAATGTAGTATGAATGAATCTTTAGCCCTTATGCATTTATATAGTTTTTTAAAGATGTATCTTGCAGCAATGTAATCAGCTAACTACACATTGCATGAAGCACTGTCTGCTCTGAATCCAGAAACCAAGAAGTACAATTCCTCAGGATGTTGGACCATCAAAAGAAATTCTCAGATGTGCCTAGCATCTATGTTAAATAGCACAGGAATCATTACATCATCACTTTTCTTAATGGCACAGATCCACCCCTTTCTAGACAATGCAACACTTGGTTTCAGAATAATAGAATATGAAATAATTACTTCTGTGAATTATTTCACATTTTTGTATAAAAGGTTCACATGTAAAATAACAATCAGTGGGACATAATGACCTGCCTGATTCTTTGCTTGAATCGAGAAAGATCACTAGGACATGTGAGTCATTAATGGCTGCTTCTCTTTAGCAAAATTTGGAACACCTGTAAGAGCTGCTATATGCCTAATTAAAAGGCTATAAAACTCAGTGTAGTGAGAGATATGATAAAAGGACTGGCTGCTCTGGTTTGTTAATTTCATTTATTGGAGGATTCAGATGCTCTTTCTCTCTGCACTGAAAAGTTTGTTTCCTGCAGTCAGCACATTAGGCTAGCATG